CCCTGTGTGCCTTGTCTCCTACGTACTATATTTTAATTTTTAAATTTTTATTTTTAATTTCATGATGGTGGTTGCAAAAGAAGGTTGCCCTAGATATTGACTAATTTGGATACATTTTTCAGGTTTCATGTCTTAGAGCTGAGCAAACACAACTGACTAGAACACTTGAGAAGGAAAGGCAACGAGCATCTGAAAATCGACAAGAATGCCTTGCTACACAGGAAACAGCTCTTACCCATGAAGGGAGAGCAAAGCAACTTGAAAAAGAAATTCAGGAATTGAGAAATAAACATAAGCAGGATTTGTTTGAAGAGGCTTCTCACCGAGAACTCATAGAGAAGGTAAACAGTTGTTGGGTGTGTTAAAGACTTAAAGTGATCATTTGATATTGGAGTGAGATATGTGTAACATTAGATTCATGTTACTGAGCAAACATCACTTAACCCTGAAATTTTTGATTTCAGGAGCTAGAACAAGAAAAGGCTGCAAGGTTGGAGTTAGAAAGAATTGCTCACTTAGAAAAGCCTGTATCATCTGATAGAGCCCCAACAATTAAGTATACAAACTCTTTTCTTGATAATGGTACGTGGACAATGTCATATCTACATGTTTCTCTTGTATATTTGGAAACAGCATCTAGATATGCATGCTTCAGAAACTTGAAACCTTAAGCCAGTGCTTGAATGCTTGGACTGATCATCTTACTAAGTGCATATTTTAATGTCTCCCATTTAATAAAAGTGCTTTTGATTGTCCTACTAGTGTGGCTGTAAAATGGTAAATTAGTAAAAAATTGACCAGTCCAATATTTATGCAGGTGTTCCGGAAGCTGTTTATGTTTATATTTACCTTCTTATATGCTTTTTATCTACAGGACCTGGAGTTCCTATAAGGAAACTTTCTAGTGCTGGAAGTATAAGCAGCATGGATGAGAGCTTTTTTCTTCAGGCATCTTTGGAGTCTTCTGATGGTGCTATTTCAGAGAGGAGCATTCCTTCTGCGACAAATGCGTCACCTTTTTTTAGGAAGAGCATGACTCCTGGTACCATTGAGCACTTAGAATCTGCCCTCCGCCAGAAAGATGGTGAACTCATGTCATATATTTCTCGATTGGTATGCATAACCTTATCCTTTGCCCTTTCTCCAAACGCTTGACTTTGAGGAATGGGAAAGTAACTATAATCTTTGTTGCAGTGATCTCATTGTCTGATGAAATGGTGGATGGTGGTGGACGGGATCCACCATTGGGTTATCTCCTGCTCTGATGGCTCCATTCTTTCTATCACCATCCATGATTTCATCACACACTCATGAATCGAATGGATGCTTGTTCTTCATAGTCCATTGGATTGTAGTATACTTCCCTTGAATGATTTTAGAGTCCATAGGAATTTTTTGAATTTGAAAACAAAAACAAAATGGAGAAATGCAATTATTTGAAGCACCATTTGCATGTTATATGGTTTTTATTTGATTTCAGAAATACATGGAGTTCCAAATCATGGTCCAGGGAGGAAAGCAAAATTTCATACCATTATTTATTTATTTATTTTGCAATGTAAGAGAGTAGTTTAAGTTTAGCATGCCATTAGAAGTTGTAGTTTCTTATGGTTGCATTGATAAAAATTTTGTTGCGAGTAACCGCTCAGTGTGGTGTTATTTTGAATTCCCCATGATTTCAACCCAAATATCAGTTAGCAAAATGGAGAAAATTAAAATATCATTCATGAATCCTGTATCTCATTGGCCATCTAGCTCGAATGATTATCTCTGCATTTGGATTATTGATTGGTTCATCAGGGCAGTAAAATGTTTTTGCCCTTTGAATAATTGCCCTTGACCATTATCTTATTGGTGATATGTATGTTTTTATTTTTGGTAAACCAAGTATTATTATTCTTGAGAAAATTTACTGAGCCTTTTTGAGTCATATTTCTAAGATAAAAGAATATGTCCAACTAGTGGAAATGTCTTGTAGAATACTTTACGAAGCCTTTTAAGCTAATTTGTTTAATGCACTTGTCCCAGTCATCTTTGGAGTCTATCCGTGATTCTCTTGCCGAGGAGTTAGTGAAAATGACAGCACAGGTCAATATTCTTCTAATTTTATTTCATTAAGTTGTTTGCCTCGTCCATAATTTTTTTTTTTTGAGGTGGGGAATTTTGCACTTGTGTGTGTGTGTGTGTCTACACATCATCATCATTATAGCCTTTTCCCAATTAATTGGGGTCGGCTACACGAATCCTGGTACGCCATTCTATTCTATTAAAGGCCATATCCTCAGTGAGACTATAAATCCCCATATCTTTTCGGACTACTTCTCTCCACGTCCATTCCCTATATATATATATATATCGAGAGAGAGAGAGAGAGAGAGAGAGAGAGAGAGAGAGAGAGAGAGAGAGAGTAGTAGTAGTTGTTGTTCGTTCGTTCGTTCGTTCGTTCGTTTAGTTTACGTTTACGTTTAAGTTAGTTAGGTTAGGTTAGGTTCGTTAGTTAGTTAGT